GGAGACCCCAGGGTGTCATGAGGGTGTCTGTAACCTCATGGAAACTTGGCAGACACTCTGTTGTCCCCTGTCTGGTTCCTCTGACATGCTTTGTGATGACAAACAAAGGCAGGGGCCCAGAGTGAGAGACTGTCACACCCCTGAGAGGTGGGTGAAATGAGAGGGGAGTCTGAGGCTCCAAACCCCTGCACCCCTAAAAGCATATTATGTTTTAAAAATGGAAAGAGGTCAGTAGGAAATTGTCTAGAAGTAATTTGGAGACAGTTGGGTTAGAATTCTGATGGTGCCTCTTTCTAGTTCTGGGACCCTGGGCAAGTTATTTCATCTCCCTTGGCCTCGGTTTTCTAATCTGTAAAATGGGGCTAAGAGCAGTCCCCGCTTCAGAGGGTCACAGAGAGGATGAAGGGGGTGAATGCAGCATCCTTCAAAATGTGCTAGGCGTTGTGCTCTTTGTACGTGGGATAATTTCAGGTGTACTTTTAAAAAATTCAATTAGGTAAGTATTTTTATTTTAATTGCATTAGAGGACCTTGCACCACAAACCCGTTAATGTCATGGCTGTTATTACTCAGAGTAAGGCAAAGCTCGTTTAGGCAAAGAATTTATTTAAAAATGGAGTAAGGTAAAGAATGGTTGGTTCACAGCAAAACAAACATCACAGCTAAGTTCAGGATTTCCTGATTCATATTTCTTCTACAGAGGGCTTCTTATCTTGGTTAGGGCCTTGGGCTCCTCTGGCAGTCTGGGGAAGCTTAGGGATCCCTTCTCAGAAGACTCTGATTAAATGTGTAAAAGAAGATGCACCGATTGCCAAGGAAGCCCATTATATTAACACAGAGTGATCAGACTCTTTTCTAAATGGCGACATAGTAACATATGCACTTCATAAATGTCTTAAGTAATGGGGACCCAGTAGCAGATCGAAAATGACTGTAATTTTGAAGTCATCATGAGCATAAGCGGTGTCTGGAGACCTGTGCAGCTGCAGCAAGATGGGGAGTTATTTTGTTTCTGTTGATGACAGTCGCTAGGGCTGCTAACTCAACTGTGGCTTGCTGCCGACACCCATCACAGAAAGAAATACTGAATTCCAATTCGGGATTACTGAAAATAAAGACATCATTTTGAAAATCCAAGTTTACACCCCTAAGTTTTTCCCCAAAGTTGAGACCTCCACGTTCAGGAGACAGGCTTATGGCACGGCTCCCTCCCGAGAAATTTTATGAGCTGGAAGCGCGAGTCATCTTGTAACGGCGGTTATAACAGCTTCTACTATGTGCCAGACATTTTCTAGAGTATGTTGTTGGATAATTTCAACGATCTTGAGAGATAACTGATGCTCAGAGAGATCGAGTGTCTTGTCTAAGATCACACAGCTGTTAAGATGGTAGGTCTGATACAGAATGCACTTTTGCCTGAATCTAATATCTTTCTTCTTCCCACTGTACCCTGATTCTTAGATACTCAAATAAAAATCAGAGTCCAGTGAGTGGGTTATCAGTGAAGGTAAGGTGTCTGGGGGACTCAGGGCTGGCTGCTGTGGTTTCTCCTGATCATCTCTTTACTTGCTCATTTTGCAGGTGAGGCTTAGCTAGGTGACCTGCTTTATCCTAGCTCGCTGAGTTAGCAAGGATATTGGACTAGGGGTGCTACAGGCTGAGTGGGGTGGAGGACCCAATGAAAGATATTGTGTGGAAAATGGACATTTCAGGACTTTCCTGGTGGTCCAGTGGTTAAGATCCTGTGCTCCCACTTCAGGGGGCAAAACTTCCATCCCTGGTTGGGGAACTAAGATTCCACATGCTGCGGGGCCAAAAAAAAAAAAAGGACAAGGAAGCACTTTCTTAAAATGTTAAAAAAATTAGAATGGAATTTCCCCAGAAGTAGCAGCTTTTCTGGATCTACAGATGACGAGATCAGATTCAAATCCTCTTTTGTCCTCTCACTCCCAGGGACCCATTTGGGAGAAATGTGGGGGAAACTTTGAATATCTTCTACTTCATTTTCATTTTGCTTTCCAGCCAAGGAAGGTCTTCCCCTGTGAATTTCACCTCTGTTTCCATTGCCTTTCGTTGCCCAAGGTGGTGTGGAGGGTGGGGGACATGGGGAGGATGAATGGAGAACCTGGAGGGTCGCATGTTGTCGTCCAGGAGACTGCGAGCACTTCCTTTATTTTGTGTGTATCCCTCCTAGACTAGTCCTCCTGCTCTGTTGTAATTAAAATTATGTTAATAATTTATATAATATGCTATTAACAATTGTAATAATTGTTATTTTCAACATGGGAATATTCATCTAAACTTCATAAATGTTGGTGGTGGTTTAGTTACTAAGTCATGTCTGACTCTTGTGACCCCATGGACGGTAGCCTGCCACGCTCCTCATCCATGGGATTCTCCAGGCAAGAATACTGGAGTGGGTTGCCATTTCCTTCTCCAGAAACTTCATAAATGCTTACTGTAAAAAGAGTCAAACCGTGCAGATGTGCAAAAAGTAATGTTGTTAGTAGCTCAGTTGTGTCCAACTCTTTTGCAACCCTGTGGACTATATAGCCCACCAGTCTTCTCTGTCCATGGGATTTCCTAGGCAAGAATACTGGAATGGGGTGCCATTTCCTTCTCCAGGGTGTCTTCCGACCCAGGGGTGGAACCCGAGTCTCCTGCATTGGCAGGTGGGTTCTTTACCACTGAGCCATGAGGAAAGCCTGAAAAAAAGTAATAAGTTGATCTAAAAGTTCTCCCATAACTCCAGCTTCTGGAGGGACCCACTGGGATCTATTTCATAATTTAGATCATGTTATATCCTACCTCTTTAACTTTGTTTATCTTGCAAAGATTTATGAATTTATTCATAAACAGGCAGCTTATTATTTTCAAAGGTTGCATGAATATTCCATCATCTAGCTCTGTCAAAGTTGACTCAGCCATTAATGAGGGGATTTAGATTGTTTCCAGTTTCTTCCCTTTGTTCTGGAGAAGGAAATGGCAACCCAGTCCAGTCTTCTTGCCTGGAGAATACCATGGATAGAGGAGCCAGGACGGGCTTCCATGGGGTCGCAAAGAGTCAGATGTGACCGAGCAACTGAATACTTTCACTTTCATAGACAATGCAGTGGAGAAAAATCCTCATACTTACCTTCTTAGGAAAATCCATAGTAATGGGATTGCTTGGTCCACTTTATTAAAAATTTCAAAAATGAATGATATCAGGAATTCCGTGGTGATCAGGTGGTTAGGACTCAGTGATTTCACTCCCATGGCCCTGGGTTGAATCTGTGGTCTGGAAACTAAGATCTTGCAAGTTGCGTGGTGTGGCCAAAACAAAAGGTGACATCATATTGCCTTCCAGAAAAGATGGGCAGATCACCTTATCCATGCTGTAATAGTTACTGTCCTGCACAAGATATCTTTTCTGATCCCAAACACTGGCAACCCTTTTCCCTTAGTGGATGTGAGAGTGTTATGGGTTGGACTGTTCTCTTCTTTAACATCCTGGGTATTTCTGTCAGTTCTTCCTTTTACCTTTGAGCTTCTCTGCAAATATCCTTCCTTTACTCACCTGGTTTCCTTTGGGGCTCTTGGTGATCCTCAGCTCCACTTTCCTCCTTTTCAGGACAGGTTTCTGTTGAATTGTCCGAGCTCTTATGAGGACAAAAATAGGAATACCTGAAAACTAAAGGGAAGGGAATGTGGGGGGACCTATCATAAGAGTGTGAGGGACCAAGAGTTTCCCTGGTGGTCCAGTGGTGAAGAATCCACATACCAATGCAGGAGACATGGGTTCGATGCCTGGTCTGGGAGGATTCCACATGCCGTGGAGCAGCTTAGCCCATGCGCCACAACTACTGAAGCCTATGCACCCAGAGCCCATTCTCTGCAGCAGGAGAAGCCACTGCGATGAGAAGCCCATGCACCACAACCAAAGTAGCCCCCGCTCGCTGCGACTAGAGAAAGCCTATGCAGCAGCGAAGACCCGGCACAGCCAATAAATAAATAAATAAAAATAATAAGAAAAGAGTATGAGGGACCAGATTTTGAGCACTTCGTTAGAGGCTCTCCATGTGGCACTCGCTGTATGCTGAGGTTTAGAAAGGCTGTGATCCATATGGCATCTTAAGCTGAGGTTTAGAAAGGCTGTGGTCCACTGGTGGAGAATGAGACCTGACTCTGGATCTGCCTCTCCTTAGATCGCATGCTCTGTTCTCTATCTCCTCTGTCCTCTTTCTTTTCCTCTTCCTGCCCCCACCTCCCCCGCACTGTGTTTCCAAAACTGTGACTGTCCTGCTGATGGCTGTCATTTGTTGTGACAAACGCCGCTGTAAGGCTTTCACATGTATTAACTCATTTCTTCTCTCAACAATCCTTTGAACCTAGATTTTGTTTATTATCCATTTTTTACAGGTGGGAAACCAAGGGACAGAGAAGTTAAGTATTGTCAGAGGCAACAAGTACAGCAACTCAAAAGGAAATTCTAAGGCACAGGCAGTAAACTCTTCAGATTGGGGTGACCTAGATTTTTCTGTGACTGCCCTAGGTGATCAGCTGCCATTCTTGACTAATGTTAGGGAAAGACCACAGCCCCATTTTAAAGATGGAGATCAAGAAGTTAAGTCTCAGTGACTTCTCAGCTCTCTAGCATTTGAATTAGGGAATTCAAAGACATCTAGAATAGGGTGAAATATTTCAACTGACATGTGTTTGTTGATTTTTAGGAGGAATTCTGAACTGGGGGTGCTCATTTACCTTTCGGCATATGTATAGAACTGTTCATGAACCTACTTGCCTGAAGTATAAGACATGGAAAGATGGTGACTAAATGTATATGTCCCTGACATAGGATGCTCTTGAGTATAACTGTATCTCTCCATTCATCAAAGATCCCTTTGTTTCTTATTCTGTGATTTTTTTCCCCCAGTGGATGCTTTGACCCTGTGGTTCAGACAATGAAGAGATCTCGATCATGCCACTGATCAATGTTATTTTGTATCTTCTCCCTTTTAGTAAAGAATATCCCGTGGTTCCCAGGAGCACAGTGAGACAGAAAGTGGCCTCCAACCACAGTCCTTTCAGCAGTGAGCCTCGAGCTCTGTCCGCCTCATCCAACTTGGGGTCCCAGTACCAGTGTGAGAATGGTGTGTCTGCCCCCTCCCAGGACCTCCTGCCCCCACCGAACCCGTACCCGCTGCCCCAGGAGCACAGTCAAATTTACCATTGCACCAAGAGGAAAGGTGAGTGCGACTGCCCTGCCCACCCGGCCACTTTCTTTTCTTCTTCTTTCCCTTGAAAAAAGGAAATCCACCTAACTACATGTATATGTATTTTTAAAATGTAAGCAAGTGCACTGAGGGACCGAGAGACTGTAAGAGAGTCAGACCATTCTGGTACAGCTAAAGATTCCTTTGTCACATCTCTGCCAAGTTCTAGCCCCTTCCTTGGGGAAAGCTTATTTGAAATGTCCAGATGCATTTATTTATTTACACTTGCATATACACACAAATACAGAGTTTTGCTTTTACTTTTAATTGTTGATATCATACTGTACCTGTTTTGCAACTTGTATTTCTTAAAATTTTAGAATATATTGTATTTTTTTTAACTTTTTATTTTATATCGGAATATAGTTAATGAAAGGGCTTCCCTGGTGGCTCAGCTGGTAAAGAATNAAAAAAAAAAAACAAGGTGGAGAGGGAGTAAAGAAAATCATGATAGATTTTGTCTCCTGTGCATCCCCTCTTTAAATCTCCTAGGCTGTTGTCTGAGACATCTCATCATTTCCTTTGCCTAATGAGAAATGGATGACTTCCTCCTAAGCTCTCTGAGTCCAGAGGGGAAGTTAAGGCAGGAAATTTCTGGTGGCACATTTTCCAAGGCCGAATCGAAGGTGTGGATGTGGGCAGTGGGGCCAGGGAAACAGATTTGAGTCTCAGCTCTGCCACCAACGTCCTGGATGAGCTCAGGCGGGTGTCCTAGCCTCTCTGGGCATCAGTTTGTCACTTTGCAAATAGTGTTGAGTTTCTGAGAGCAGTTGGTGCTTGGTGAGCACCCCATGGGTGGAAGCTAAGTGAATCCCAGGAGGCAGTAAAGAGAAGGCTGCTCATTTAGGTGAAGGTTCGGGAAGACAGACATAAGGGGAGGAGACTGTGCAACCTCTTGCTTACGCCTGTGATTTTCAGAGTCAGACTAGTGAGATAAATCCGATCTTTGACATTTTCACATGTTTATGATTAGGGGCAAGTTACTTAGTCAATGCCTCTAAACCTCACAACAAACCTCTGTAGATTGGAGCCTGTAGATTGGACCTGTCTCCTCGGCTTGGTGTGAAGAGGCTATGAAATCAGCACTGGGTCGAATTAATAAACCAGCCCTGTTTTGCTCCAGATGGTCCGTGGCCCTGTCTTCCGAGTGCTCCCTGTTGGATCTTAAAGCCCCATCAGCCAACACGACGCCTTTCAAAGTCCAGTGGTGCCTGGACCTTCTCTTTTGACATGAGAACAGGAACACAGTTTGGCTATTTGACATTTACCAAAGTCACGTTTTGAAAGAGGGAAACGCTGTCATGGGTCCAAACCTGGGGCTGGGGAGCTGACCTGGGGAGACTGGGCTTTCCAGACTTACCTGAAGCCCATCCAAACTCTTTGGATCTGGGAGGCCTGAGCAGCATCAGCTCATCAGGCCCCCTGGCCCGACTCCCAGCACGCCCACTGCCGGATGGGCTGGAGCCCAGATGCCTGCAATATGCCTTTCAGGCACAAGCAGAAGTTAAGAATGTCCTGTAGCTCACAGGTCCCGGTGTAGAGACGCTGTTTCATATTATATTTCAGGGAGCCCTGCCGAGGTTTCAGGCCACAACCTTTTCAGGAACATTATTAAGTAGGCACTGTTATATAAACCCATTTTACAAATGGGGAACCTAAGGGAAAACTGTGAGCTGATGGTTCTTTTTTTTCTCTTAATTAATTAATTTATTTTAATTGGAGGCTAATTACTTTACAATATTGTGGTGGTTTGGCATGAGTCTGCCATGGGTGTACATGTGTCCCCATCCTGAACCCCGCTCCCGCCTCCCTCCCCATCCCGTCCCTCAGGGTCGTCCCAGCGCACCAGCCCTGAGCGCCCTGCCGCATGCATCGAACTTGGACTGGTGATCTATTCACNCCATCCTGAATCCCCCTCCCATCTCCCTCCGCACCCCATCTCAGGGTCATCCCAGTGCACCAGCCTTGAGCACCCTGTCTCATGCATCAAACCTGGACTGGCGATCTGTTTCACATATGATAATATACATGTTTCAATGCTGTTCTCTCAAATCATCCCACCCTCGCCTTCTCCCACAGAGTCCAAAAGTCTGTTCTTTACATCTGTCTCTTTTGCTGTCTCACATATTGGGTCATTGTTACCGTCTTTCTAAATTCCATATAAATGCATTAATATACCGGATTGGTATTTTTCTTTCTGACTTACTTCACTGATGGTTCTTTTTTTTAAAGCTACTTTTTAAAATGTTTTATTTATTTTTAGTTACTTATTTATTTTGGCTGCATTGGGACTTCATTGCTGCGTGTGGGCTACTCTCTAGCTGCAGTGCATGGGGTTTCATTGTGGCGGCTTCTCGCTGTGGAGCACGGGCTCTAGGGCACTCAGGTGCAGTAGTTGCCACACGCAGGCTCAGTAGTTGAGTCTCCCAGGCTCTAGCGCACAGGCTCAGTAGCTGTGGCATGTGGAATCTTCCCAGACCAGGGATCGAACCTATGACCCCTGCATTGGCAGTCGGACTCTCAACCACTGGACCACCAGGAAAGTCCGAACTGATGGTTCTTAAAGGCAGAGTTTGAACCCACGCCTGGCCTGCAGACTCTGCCTCGACTATGAACCACCACCCTTCCCGTCTTCATGACCTTTACCTATGAGCTGCAGTCTCCAAATTTCATCATCCACTAGAGATTCTACTCTTGGGATTGGGTCCTGTTCGTTGCTGAAGAGCTCACAGGTTTGGATTAAAGAGTTCTTTCGATTAAATTGATGCCAGACCAAGAAGAAGAGGGGGTAGTTACAAAGAATCAGTGTGCTGTTTTAGGTTCGATATTGATAGCAGCATCCTTGGAAATGCACTCCTGGAGGATACAGGAGGAAGGCTTTGAATGCAAGGCTGATGAACCCCTTTGGGTGATGGGAGTGGTCATCCTGCACATGGTACTTTGCTGAGATCCTCGCATGAACTTGGGTTTGACTTGAGGTGGCCCCTGGGGAAGCTGGAGTCAGTGGCTGGTCCACTGCAGTCTCTCCCAGCAGCTGATGCTCCCCAGCAGCGTGATGGTGGGTAACTTGCTTCAGCTTTCTGAGCCTCAGCCAGCTTTTCTGCAGAATGGGGAGGACAATGGTGCTTTTGCTGCAGGGTTGTTATGAGATGAAATGAGATCATCCCGGTGAACCCGGGATTGTGAGATAGGTACGGGCGTGTGAGAGCCTGGCACCTATAAGTCCCCTACTGAAAGTGAGCTCACTGCTGTCCTGACTTTGGGAAATGCACACCATTGCAAGCAGTGCAGACATTAATGTGACTCGTTATTGACTTGTTTGATGGCAGTGGCGATCAAATGCTATGAAGGAGATGCACAAAGTGCTAACAGAAAGCAAAGTGGGGGACTTCCCTGGTGGCCCAGCAGTTGAGAATCCACACTTCCAATGCAGGGGACGTGAGTTCAGTACCTGGTTGGGAAACTGAGATCCTGTGTGCCACGAGGCAGCTGAGTCTGGGCACCATGCTATAGCTAAGATCAGACACAGCCAAATAAATAAATGTTTTTTGAAAGTTATTAAAAATAAAAACAACAAAGTGGGTAATTGGATCTAGAGTAGGGCATCAGGGAAGAATTTCAGTTGAGGTCTGTGGAGAGTGGGTGTCAGATATGAGACTGGGGAGTCAAGTGGGTGTCTAGGCATAGAGAAGAGCATGTGTGCAGACCCTCGAAAAATGGGGAGCCCCCTCTTACTGGGACAGTGGACATAAGACCAGCATGGTTTGTGCGCAGAGCAGGGAAGAGTGATGGAAGAGAAGGCTGCTGAGGAAGGCAGGGACCAGCACAACGCCAGCCCTTGTGAGCCACTTTGAAGGGTTTGGATTTTATCTTAACACTGACGGGTGGCCTTTGCAGGAGTTTGAACCCATGAGGGATGTGATTCTGGCTTTGTTTTGAGGCAGTCCCTTTGCTGGGATTGAATTGATGCCAGGGATGGTTCATAGGCTATTGTAGGCTCCAAGGTGTGTGAGATGGTGATGGCTCAGACCAAGGAGTGTGGAGAAGAGCTGGAGATGTTGGAGGAGTCAAGACGTCGTGACTGGTTGCAGATAACAAGGTGAAGGATTGCCCCCTCTTTGACAGATGTGGACCCTGAGGCTCAGAGAGATGGAGTAACTGGTACAGAGTCACCCAGTGAGTAGGCAGCTCCACCCCCTGATTCATTCTGAGGTCTGTGCACTTGGGGTGCAGGGCTCATTTTAGCTTTGCAGAAACCTCTGCCCCTCTTGCCTCCCTCCACCTCCAAAAGACAGCTCCCGGGGACAGAGAACATTCCAGCCAAGCTCCATCTGTCCTGCCTGCCTGCCTTGGAGACGACAAAAAGCAATTCATCATCAGCCTCCATTGTAAAGCGATAAGGAATCAGCCGAGGTTTCCTTCCAGTTTGGGACTCCCGTTAAGTGATAACTCCATGGGTGGCTTGTCCCCCACCCCGGCCCCTGCCTGCCCCACTATCTGACTTCCCCTCATTGTCTGTCTCCTTTCCAACCGGCCCAGGAGGCAGCCCCAGTGAAATGTCAAAGGACCAGGCTGGCCAGGGGGCCCCTTGTGTTTGGACCCAGCTGTCTCCAAACTATCTCTCCTGATGGGAGGAGCTAAAAAGCTGGGAAAGTGTTTTATCAACGCCACTCCATCACATCCAGTCCACCCGGGCCTGGGAGACCACTTGTCTGTCTTTCTCTCTCCTTCCCACCCTGACAGCCCTCCCCAACCACTGGAAACCAGAGGCGACCCAAATAAAGGTTTTAGCAAAGCCAGTTACTGCACTGGATACTGCACTGGATACAAAGGGGAGAGGAACTGGGTACCGTCAAGGGCTTTGCATTTCTTCAGCCTCCTTGGTTTTTAGAGCAATCCCACACCCTTTCCTTCACTGGAGTCTCCCTGTAGTCTTTGAGTCACAGGAGATGCCTTCCACCCCCTTGGCAAAT